CGTCCAAGAGGGGGGGTGCAAATCATGGCCGTCGGCATGTGTGCGGCCCAAGGGGGGGCCAGGGACGTAATGAATTAAGAAGAGGCGCCATCAGATCTGGGGAAATATCATGGCCCACGCCATGGCATCCACCCCCCCTCTTTGCCGCCCCTGACACAACGTCGACCCCCAGAGGTCTGGAACCCTTCCCGGGGACCAATTTTTCATCCTGCATTGTTTTTTGACGGTCCCGGGGCCCGGGAAGGGCCCCCGGAGGCCAAAACATACCGGAAAGCCTCCCGTCGTGATTTTGCCGCGGCGCGAGGGGGTCTGGGTCCCTCCGCCCGCCCCCTCTCCGCACGCCCGCCGCCGCCCAGGGCGGGAGGTGCAGTGTGCAGGTCCGCGGCCCCCGCGCTGGTTGTCCAGGCCACGGCGGCCAGGGCCCCTGAGATAGAGTCAGGCCGGGCGTGTCCTCCGACAGGCGGATTCTGGACGAAACATAAGACATAGTCAACACATGTTCAAAAATGACCAAGGACAGTCAAAGCACCGTCCCTTTGTTCGACTCTGTTTGACTCTTCCTCATGTGGAGGGACATGCCCGAATTAAGGATAGGAGGCAAGAGAATTATGCACATACACCGACGCTGGCCAGGCCCATCCTGAGCCCCAGATCGGTGCGTGCGACCTCCCACCTTGGCCAGGAAGGCATGTGCACCGATGCTGGGCCGAGGATGGGCCTTGGCCCAGGATGGGTGCACGTGCGTAGCTCTCTTCGCCCGATCGGAGCTCCCGCGCGCCCTCTGCCCCCCGCAGAGGCTTCGCTTGCGAACAAGATGCACACCGCCACGAAGCGGATCCAGAAAATCAGCACGCAGGACACCGGGGCCAGCGTCCTGGAGAAATCTCTCGAGCAAAGCCTGGGCCAACCTCTGCTGTGGACGCTGGGGGGTGGGAGTTCCAGAAGCGGGACCAGCTTCCTGGCAAGCTGGTTGAGAAACGCTGGCCAAGTTGTCCGGAAGGAGATGCCTTGATCAGATGCTCAACGGCATCCATATCCACGGCGTCTCAAACTTTCTGGGAAGGGAGGCCAAAGTAGGCCGAGGCGCAGCGGATGTGGATACAGAGTCTTGCTTCCAGGAGCCAGGTGTTTATGCACGTCCACTGCGCCTCAGCTTCTCTGGGGTAGGGAGCCCGACACATGTGGATACAAGGTGAGCGTTTTGTTCGGCGTTTCGACATTGGGCGGCAAGGGGGGGGGGGAGGGGGGGGTCTGGGGGGGTCTGGCTCCAGACCTCTGCTCAGTGCGACTGTTTGCAAGAGTGCGGCCTCTTGGGGAGACTCCCCCCGCTCGAAACAGGCGCTGAAAAACATTTAAGATCTACTCGAGGGGGAGGGGATGGGGGGGTTTAGGGGGCCCGCGCCGATCGGCAAAACAATAACAAAAACGAACACAAGTCTTGACTGGATCTGTTCGGCAGAAGTTCGGCACTCGGCCCGTGCTTTGATTTCGGAGCAGGGCGGGCTGAGAAAACGGCAGCTCCAGATCGGTCCCTGGACCCCTCCCCGGGGTCCCGGCGCACCAGTCCTCTGAGCTGCGCCCAGCCGTGGCGACGAGTGAGCCCCCCCCCAAAGGCCAGCGGCTTTCATCTCGCACCTCCTCTGAGGATCGTCCTGGGGAACCGCGGGCAAGAGGGCGCCCAAGCTGCAGCAGCACTGCAGCAAGCAAGCTGGGCAGGCTGCTTCTGCCACGCCTGCGAGGTCCGCTGGAGCCCGCTTTTTGCTCTGCTATTTGCGGTTTCTCTCGTGACCAGCCTCGCCCCCCGTGAAGGTTTTCTTATTGGGCGTTTCGGCATTGGGCGGAAGGGGGGGGATGGGGGGGGGTCTGGCTCCGGACCTCTGCTTAGTGCGACTGTTTGTTTACAGAAGTGCGTCCTGTGGGGGAGGCTCCACCTGCCCGAAACAGGCGCCAAAAACAGCCAAGATCTACTCCATGGAAGGGGGGGAGGGAGGGGGGGTGCGAGGGCCCGCGCCGATCGGCAAAGCAACAAATAAGGAGATACCCCCACCCCCCCAAGAGAAACACGCCACGATTCGCGCTGGCGCCGTGTGGGATGCCGTGTGACGACCAGGGCGGATAGCGCCCCCACCCCGCGCGCACCCCCTGTGGCGTCGAGGAAATGCCACGCCTGCCATGCCTTGCGAGCCTGCAACACATAGCGCCCCGACCCCCAGCGCCCCCCCCCCCGTGCCGTCGAGGAATTGCCACACCCTACAAGCCTGCAACGCATAGCGCCCCCACCCCCTGCGCACCCCCTGTGGTGTCGAGAAGGTGACACGCCTGCTGTGCCTGGACGACCGGGGCGTATAGAGACCGCGGTGAGAGACAACCCCCTGCGCACCCTCTGGTGCCGAGAAAGTGCCACGCCTGCCACGCCCTCCGACCCTGGCACGCATAACGGCCGTCCTCAGAGACCACCCGCTACGCACCCCCAAAAGTGTCGAGAATATGCAACGCCTGCTGAGCCCTGGACAACCGTCACGGATAGCGGCCGCGCTCAGAGACCACCCCCTGCGCACCCCCTATACAGTCAACACGCCAGACGCGCACTGGCGCTGTTTGGTGTGTCTGCGAGTGTGCGCATGCGTGCGGCTGTATGTAGACGAGTGTCTCATGCACGCGCCGTGCATGCGTTGTGCGTGGGTGAAGAAGGGAAGGACGAGGAGGAGCAGAGGAGAGGAGGGAGGCGAAGAAGACGCGGGCGCGACGTTGCCTCGAACAAACCAAGAACCCCATTAAGCATGTGGGGAATAACACTCACCTCGCTGGCGTTCCACTGTGCCCTGAGCACGACCGGCACGGATAGCGGGCGTGCGAACCGATGTGTCCTGAGCACTACCGTCACGGATAGCGGCCGCCCTCACAAACCACCCCCTGCGCAACCCTTAACGTGTCGAGAATATGCCACGTCTGTTATGCCCTGGACGACCGTCACGGATAGCGGCCGCCCTCGGAGACCACTCCCTGCGCACCCCCTATGGTGTCGAGAACACGCCACGCCTGCTCTGCCCTACACGACCGTAACGAATAGCGGCCGCCCTCAGAGACCACCACCCTGCGCACCTCCTATGGTGTCGAGAATATGCCACGCCTGCTCTGCCCTGGACGACCGTCACGGATAGCGGCCGCCCTCAGAGACCACACCTCTTGCGCACCCCCTATGGTGTCGAGAATGTGCCACGCCTACTCTGCCCTGGACGACCGTCACGGATAGCGGCCGCGCTCAGACACCACCACCCTGCGCACCCCCTATGGTGTCGAGAATGTGCCACGCCTGCTCTGCCCTGGACGACCGTCACGGATAGCGGCCGCGCTCAGACACCACCATCCTGCGCACCCCCTATGGTGTCGAGAATATGCCACGCCTGCTCTGCCATGCACGACCCGACGACCCTCACGGATAGCGGCCGCGCTCAGACACCACCACCCTGCGCACCCCCTATGGTGTCGAGAATATGCCACGCCTGCTCTGCCATGCACGACCCGACGACCCTCACGGATAGCGGCCGCGCTCAAAGACCACCACCCTGCGCACCCCCTATGGTGTCGAGAATATGCCACGCCTGCTCTGCCTTGGACGACCCTCACGGATAGCGGCCGCCCTCAGAGACCACCACCCTGCGCACCTCCTATGGTGTCGAGAACATGCCACGCCTGCTCTGCCCTGGACGACCGTCACGGATAGCGGCCGCCCACGGAGACCACTCCCTGCGCACCCCCTATGGTGTCGAGAACACGCCACGCCTGCTCTGCCCTACACGACCGTAACGAATAGCGGCCGCCCTCAGAGACCACCACCCTGCGCACCCCCTATGGTGTCGAGAATGTGCCACGCCTGCTCTGCCCTGGACGACCCGACGACCCTCACGGATAGCGGCCGCGCTCAAAGACCACCACCCTGCGCACCCCCTACTGTGTCGAGAATATGCCACGCCTGCTCTGCCCTGGACGACCGTCACGCATAGCGGCCGCCATCAGAAACCACCCCTTGCGCACCCCTATGGTGTCGAGAAAATGCCACGCCTGCTCTGCCCTGGACGACCGTCACGGATAGCGGCCGCTCTCAGAGACCACCACCCTGCGCACCTCCTATGGTGTCGAGAATATGTCATTCCTGTGATGCCCTGGGCGACCGTCACGGATAGCGGACGCGCTCAGAGACCACCCCCTGCGCACTCCCTATGGTGTCGAGAACATGCCACGCCTGCTAACAACTGCGAATCCTACACGTCTGTCTTGTATACGGCGTGTCATGCGTATGTGTGTGATGCGTGTGCGGCTGTGTATTGGCGTGTGCCTCATGGTGGTGCCCAGTATGTGGTGCCTACGTCTTGGGTATGTGGTGCAGTGAGCACACCAGGCGTGCACTGGCGTTGTTACGTTGTGTGTGCGCGCGCGTGTCTGCATACGTGTCTTGTGCTGTGTGCCTTGCGCATGCGTATGTTATATGTGCGGCTGTAGGTGGACGCGTGTCTCAATGTGAGTGAATGATACAGTCAACACGCCAGGCGTGCACTGGCGTTGTATGGTGTCTGCGAGTGTGCGCATGCGTGCGGTATGTAGACGCGTGTCTCATCTGCGCGCCGTGCATGTGTTGCGCGTGGGTGAGAGGAGGAAAGAACAGGAGGAGAGGAGATGAAGGAGGTGAGGATGACGCGGGTGCGACGAGGCAGGGGAGAAACCAATAACCCCACTAAGCATGTTGGGAAAGAGAGAGAGAGAGAGAGCAACACAAAGCACATACAAATTTATAACAATGGAAACACATGAAAGAGCAGGAAGGGTTGCAGTGGGCAGCTTGATTGCCCGCGGTCTCACGATTATCACGCAAACGCTGGAAAAGGGGGAGGAGGGAGACAAGAAGGGGGAAAAGAAAAAAGGAGGGACGAACAAAAAAGTAGCAAGGAAAAGGATGGAGCAAAGGGCAGAAGGAGGAGCGAGGATGGATCATTCCCCCGCGCCCCTCCGAGATGCAGGTGGGGAACGCGATGCCCTTCTCAATTTTCTTGCCGGGCTTATCGCCCTCCCCCTTCTGCTTCTTGTTGTAAAGCTTGCCCGTCTCCTGTGCGGATGGAGGCGAGGACGAGGCGGAAACCATGGTAACTCACATAATCCCCAAGGAACCACCAGCAATGTGGCAACGTCGGCGGCGTCTCCACCGACGAGGTTGGGTGCTCGTCGCCGTCGTCGTCGACGACGACGTTCTAGCCGTCATCAAGGCCGGCACGCCTCTTCCATAAACTTGTCGGACATCTCGCATATTGTAGCGATGTCCGCATCCTCCACGCAGGCATCCACAACCTGGCGCAGACCACAACCATCGAGGGGCATCCGAGAATAATGGAACGAGACAGGCGGCCATACATGCAGCCAGGAATGAGAAAGAGGAGGGAGTAGAGGCGGAATGATGAATACAGTGGAGGCAGGCCAGTCCACAAGAAACCTTCCACAAGAAACCCAACCCTGAGACCTCAGGACGCCCACTGATTTTGGTGTGGGAACGTCACGCTTTCCATGGCACAACCATCGAAACCCAAACAACCCACGGCACCCTGGAAGCAAGCAGGGTGTCTCTTGGCACGGATCTCCGCTGGAAGGGTCGTTTTAGGTCCGTGGTGACGAGAGGGAAGAGCAGAAGGAGGAGCAGTAGGAGTAGGAGGAGCAGCAGGAGAGGCAGTAGGAGAAGCAGCAGGGCGAGAAGGACGAGGGGAGAAGAGTGGAAGGAGGAGGAGGAGGAGGAGGATCGGAGGGGGAGGAGGAGGAGGAGGAGGCGGAGGAGGAGGAGGAGGAGGAGGAGGAGGAGGAGAAGGAGGAGGACCAATACCGGGGCGAAAATTGCTAACCTAAACGCTGTGCCTGGCCCGCACCAAGACTCCAGGGGCGCTCAAAGATAATCCCAATAAAAGCCAAAGAGGGAGCACGCACCGAACATCCGAGCCTTCCGCCACAACAGGCCCTAAAATGGCCCCCAAGAGGTCCTCAAGAAACTCCAACAGCCCCCAAACGGACCCCAAGAGGCCTCAAACCTGCCCCCAAGAGGTACCCGAGAGGCCTCCCACGACATGCCAGCAAGCATCCTATATGCATATGACCCACAACCCAGGCGCGGTCGCGGGATGGGCTGAATGCCATTCGACCTGCTTGGTACGGGGACGGAAAGCGCTCGTATTCTGAATGCGCGAGATCGCTTGCTCAATATCTTGGAGCCCTCTTGGTGTTAGGATCTTGGTACGTCATACGGAAACTTACCCGAGACGTCCCCAAGTCCTTCTCCACGGGAGGCAGATCGTTGCATGAACGCTCCATACAAACGAACCCATCGCCAAATATGCAGGATCTGCGCTGCCCTCATCTTGGCCGTGCCTCCCAGGAGGCCACGAATGTGGCGACGGTTGCGCCTTTCGTAGCCTCCCCGGGAGCAGCGAAGTCTCGGGTGAATCCGCGTGGCCCCCGACTCGGCTGGACTTCCCATGGGCCCACGCAAATGGCGACAAATACAAAATCAGCAACCACCCGCGGAGCTGCGAGGTCTCGGGTACTCCCCGACTCCGCCGTGCCTCCCAGGAGCCCAGGAAAGTGGCGACACTTGCCAATTTCGTAGCCTCCCAGGGAGCAGCGAGGTCTCGGGTGCTCCCCTACTCCGCGGTGCCTCCCAAGAGCCCACGAAAGAAGCGACGATTGCACAATTCGCAGCCTCCCAAGGAGCTCCGAGGTCTCGGGTACTCCCCTACTCCGCCGTGCCTCCAAGGAGCAGAAGAAAGTGGCGATAATCGTGAAGTGCGCAGCCTCCCAGAAAATGGGCGACAATTACACAATTCGCAGCCACCCAGGAAGCTGCGAGGTCTCGAGTACTCCCTCTCCGCCGAGCCTCCCAGGAGCCCACTAAATTAGCAACAGCAGCGCAGTTCACAGCCACCCAGGGGGCTGCGAGGTCTACTCCGCCGAGCCTCCCAGGAGCCGAAGAAAGTGGAGACAATTGCGCAACTCGCAACCACCCAGGGAGCTTCGAAATATCGGGTACTCCCCGACTACACCGTGCCTCCCAGGAGCCCACGAAAGTGGCGACAACTGCGCAGTTCGCAGCAACCCAGGGAGCAGCGCAGGAAGAGGCAGGAGGCGGAGGCAAGAGGAGGGGGAGAGAAGAGGGTGTGCGACCGCAGTGCTGTATTCAAAACGAGAACCCAACCCAAGAGGGCTGGGAAATACGACACAACCTTGCGGTAATCCATGCATATGGCCTCTCCGGGCCGTCTTGGGGGGTCCTTTGGGGGCTCCTTTGGGCCGTCTTGGGGCCATCTTGGGTCGTCCTGGGGCCCTCTTGGGCCGTCTTGGGGGGTTTGGCCCGTCGTGGGGTCATCTCGGGGCTTTCTGGGGGGCCTCCTCACGCCATCTACGGGATCTCTTGGGAACCTTTTTGGCCCTCAAGGGTCTCTCTTGGGCCGTCGTGGAGCTCTCCAGGGCAGTCTTGGAGCTATCTTGGGCCGTCTTGGGACAGTCTTGGGGGTCTGCTGTGCTGTCTTGGAGCGATCCTGGGGGCCTGTTGGGCCGTTGCGGACCCTGTGCGCACAAAGAAGCATCTATGCTAAAAATGCACGTCTTCCCAGGGGAACCTTGGTGTTGAGAGTTGTTTGCTTCACCGCTCGCTGTTGGGAGCCTTGGTGTTAAGAGCTTGTCACGTCGCTGTGAGCTCTTGGGAGCCTTGGTGTTCAGGGATTGTAATGTCACCGCTCGCTCTTGGGAGCCTTGGTGTTACGATTTTGTCACATCTTTATGGGCTCTTGGTAGCCTTGGTGCTCCGACTTGTTTACATCACCGCTCGCGCTTGGGAACCTTGGTGTTAAGAGCTTGTCACGTCACCGCTTGCTCTTGAGAACCTTGGTATTGAGAGCTTGTGATGTCACTATGGGCGATGGGGAGCCCTGATATCAAACTTTGTTTACGTCACAGCTCGCTCTGTGGAGCCCTGGTGTTAAGAGTTTGGCGCCTCCGAGCCTTCTTGGGGGTCCTGTTGGGGCCCTGTTGGGCCCTCTTGGGGTCCTCTTGGGCCGTCTCGAAGCCCTTTTGAACCGTCTCGGGGCGTGGGCCATTTCTACCAACAATCTAACGCTGGCTGCCGCGCGTGTCGCATCCCACGCGAGAGGTCTGGTCACACGTACAGGGCACATCCAGTTGGTCGCAAGGCTGAAACTGTCGCCGCTTGTGCGCGTTCACTTCAAGTGTACCACAACAATTAAATATCAACTCGTCATGGCGACAGTGTCGTCTGCAATGCCGCGCCGCGAAGGCGTCTTACTTACCCACTGACGAACGAAGGCAACGCCGTCGAGCAACAATACTACCTTTTGAGCAGGGACCGCGTCGCTACAACCATCCTCAGGGAATTGAATATACATATGCTTGCAATCGCTGGTGCGTAGCGGACACCAGACCCCATGTGAGGCAAATCGAGAAAGATACGGATAGGCTGCGATCTCGGAACATCATCCTGCATGGGATTTGCGTGGTGAACATCCATCAGACTGTTGTAGGCTCTCATCGCCCAAGCCAGAAAGTGTGCGTCCTCGAACAATGGCCCACAGTCCGTGAGACTTTGGGGGAACACCCCAATACAGGTATGCCATCTTCTGCTAGGCTGATTTGATCACTCATTTGAGCGCCCAGCCGGTCGATGGTCAGAGAGGAAGAAGACAAGCTCCCAGAGCAGTTCCTCGAGTTCTCTGCGATGCTGATCAAAGGTGTGGAATTCAGTTTCACCAGGCTGGGGTTCAGCACGCCTGGAAGCAGCGCCCGAGGTACTTCTGAATCTTCCTTCAGACCCACAATGTGGACCAACTCGTCGTGCATGTCAACACCCCTAGAGTGAAACAACTCTAGCTTAACCTGCATGCCCCATGCATGTCTGGAGTGCGCGTAAATGATATACGTATCAGACATTGGCCAGTTCAAGAATAGAGACAAGCAATATTTCTCAGTGGTGTCGAGAGCTAGATTGGAGAAAGGGTAAGCCGACTCGCTGGGCGATCTTAGAAGCAGAGCGATAAGGCGTCCGGATGGCTTTGAAAGCTCAAGACCTTTTGATAGATGCATCACTGCGTCGCACATGCTTGACAACGGACCGTCCGCAGTGGACTCAAACGTCCGTGACGACTTTGCCTTACAACGTGCCAAAAACGCTGCATCGCGGGACCATGCGCTGACGAATGCTCCAAGGGCAACCCACAGCGACACTACCAACTCCTGACGCAAGTCAAGCGGGGAAAAAAAGCACCTGCAAAATAGCAGCGACGTGCGCACAAACTAATTCTAGAGGAAACGTGGGGTCGGCATGGATTAGGCGCATAATGAAACGACCGCAGATTCGCGGAAGTAATACTCAAATACTCGCATTTCGCTGTTTCAAACAAAACGTGGTAAATCATGGTGCCGTTGATGCCCGCGTGGTACGCCAAGAACACTCCCAGGGTCATCCGATCAGGCTTCACAGTACTTACCAAAAGAATTGATGCATACACTAACAACACATAAACCGCGGTGTCGGAAATCTCGGTTTGAACCATCCACTGGACAGTAGTGCGGCAGACGGTGATAATTATTCCTCGAGGGGCAATCCAGACAGCCTACGCCAGAAGTCGCTTGTCTACCATATCCTTCATCTGACGTTGCAACGGGTCCGCCAGAGTAATGAAGAGCAGCCGCCTTATCGTGGATGCGAATGCTCTACATACTAACTCGCGTGGCGGTATTGTGGACCATCGACAAGATGCTCGCAGCCTCCCAGACGGTGACACTTGTCATAGCAACATCCGAAAAGAGAAGCCATAGACGATTGCTTATCATGAGGGGCACGAACACGGCCGTCGTCGTGGCTCGCAACTGTTCGATGACACACAAGTCTATTTCCAGAATGCCTTGAACCAAACTTGAGCCAAAATGGCTACGGATCGGGCCCTGTTGGGCACTCTTGGGGTCCTCTTGGGGCGTCTCGGGGCCCTTTTGGGCCGTCTTGGAGCGTCTTGGAAGGCCTGTGGCCGTCTTGAGGCTTTCCTTGGGGCCTCTCTTGGGCCCTCTTCGGAGCCACTCTGTGCCAACTTGGAGCTCTCGTAGGAGCCTCTAGGAGACCTCAGGGCCCTTCTTGGAGACCTCTTGGGCCGTCTTCGGGCTCTCTTGGGGCGCCTTGGGGCCCTCTTGGGGGCGTCTTGGACCGTCTTGGGACGATCTTTGGATCCTCTTGGGCCGTTTTGGGCAGTTCTTGAGCCGAAGAGGCGAGAACTCGAAGAAAGCTCAACACTCATACAAAAATCAATGAAACTTGGCTCTTTGGACCCTCTTGGGAAGCCTCTTGCAGGCCTCTTCGGGAGTCTCGGGGCCCTCTGGGACGGTCTGGAGGCCATTTCAGGCCGTCGTGGAACGCTCTTAGGCTATCTTGGGCTCTCTTGGAGCGCTCCCGGACCGTTCTTGGAGCCCTCTGAGGCCCCTCTTGGGGGTATCTTGGGCCGTCTCGGGCGCCTCTGGGGCCGTCTTGGGCGCCTCTGGGGCCGTCCTGAGGGAAAAGCGCGCAACCTAGACCTACGTCCTCGCTCCTCGGCCCATCCGCCGGAACCCCTGACTAAAGGGCTTCGCCCCACCAGAACGTCATCACTCGTGCCTCGCTCTTTCCGTCACCTGAACCGGCACGGGAACGGAAAGAGCGCTTCAGAAACTTGCCCGAGATGGCTCATGGCACCCTTCGCTCTTGGCAGCCTTGGTCTTCAGAGCTTGTTGCATCACCGCGCTCTGTTTGGAGCCCTGATGTTCAGAGACTCTTACATTGCCGCTCGCTATCGGAAGCATTGCTGTTAAGATCTCCTTACGTCACCGTGCTCTGGGGAGTCTGGGTGTTAAGAGTTGGCTACGTCACCGCTCGCTGTTGGGAGCCATGATGCTACTTGGCGTTTCTGGGGCGTCTTGGGGGTCTTTTTGGGCCCCCTTTGGGTTGTTTTGGGACCCTCTTGGCGTGTTGGAGCCATCTTTGACCTCTCTTGGGCCGCCTTTAAGTATCTCGGGCCGTCCTGGACGCCTCTTAGGCCGTCTTGGAAGCCTCTTGGGGGGGGGGGGCGATTCGACCTATGTCCCTGCTCCTCGCCCCCCCCCCTGGACCCATCCCTAGAGGGCTTCGCCCCAACTCAACGTCATCACTCGTACTTCGCTCTTTCCGTCACCTGCTTGGCACGGGGACGGAAAGCGCGTGTACTGTGTGAGGGCGCGAGGTTGCTTGCTTAGTGTATTGGAGCCCTGCTGGTGTTCAGGCTTTGGTACGACTTACAAGAACCTGGCACTATGTTTTCTACTTCGTTGCATCTACCTGTCCGAGTGGTTAAGACGTGCGCTCGCTACACATCGCCCCGGCTTCAGATTGATCGATGCTCGAGGAAAGAGAACACGAATCCGCCAATGCGCTCCCATGGAATCAAGCGAACACAACACAACAAAATACACCCAATGACGAGTGTCGTCCAATGTTGTCCCTTGTCGCTGTTCGAGTGTGAAGGATTCGTTTAAGAAGATTGCAAAAGCAAGCAACATCGTGCAACATCTCTAAGTAGGACTCGCACTGACATTGTTCGCTGCAACCAGAGAATTCGAGCGCAGCGTGGCTGCAAGGCGTGGCATCCACCAACACGACGCGGTCAGCCGTGCCGTCATAGAATGTTCGCTCGATCAGCTACAGCAAAGTGCCCATGGCATACCTACCCACATACACACTTCAAACAACGACTATCTCTTCCGCATCACTTGGACAAGCTGCGAAGATGGCAAAATTCTGGATTAAAGGCCCACCGCCGATGTAATCAGTTATGTTGAGCTTGAACTTTATCTGAGACCCACTGATTGGGTTACCGAGGTCAATCCTTTTGTGCCCGATGCTGCGTCCAGAAGAAAAGAGGGTCCATTTGCCCTGCAGAAGATACTCCACTCGATAAGCTCGCACACGCTGACCGCTTGCCAAATCTTCCTGCAACATGACGCGATCTATCTGAGGTGAACCTGGTGGCGTCTCCAATTCAGCATACGTTCCAGTTACTGCCGTCGATACCACAGGCGTGCCATAGCAAGCCCGGATCCAATCGCCAAACTCTTTGTAGCGTTCAGCATGCGCTTCGTCCACTAAACCACTGCGATTGATTGCAAAATCAAGCTCAAGCATACCGTTACGCCCCACTGTGCCGTGGTACACGTCGATGAGCTCCGTCAGCGATCGGATGTCATTGCTTGAGGTCCAAAACCAATGATCACCTTCCTGGAGCGTTGTGTCACAAGCCTTTGGACAGAACACAGTGGAGTTAGGATCTCCAAGGTTGCTAGTGCCAGTCGACCATACTTCACCTCCAGGGGCACCAGACTCCGTACCAACCCAGCACACTGGGTTTGGACTCACACCGTATCCGCCGAACGATGCTGCCGTAGGCTGCCTGAGATTCAAGAGACTAGTGATGTTGTCCTTCATGTCTGAGGTGTAGCCTCCATCGAACCAAATCTCTGAAAGATGTCCATAATCAGTCCACAGTTCGGTCACTTGAGACAGAGCTATGGCCTCGAATTCATCCTGGCTGACCTTCTCTTGCCCTGGCAGCAAGCTCGTGTTCTGAACATTGTGACCCTGTACATTCAAATAGAAGTTGTTGGTCAGACTGTAGTAGAAGCCATGGCCAATACCAAAGCGTAGCATCGTATCGGAGAATTCCTTAAGCACGTCTCGCTTGATGGCACTCGCATTCTTGCCAACGCAATATGTATAGTCTCGACCATCAGGCAAGGGCGTACGAGTCGGCCAGAGAAGATGACCGCAACCATGTTTAGCTGTCAGAACTGCGTGCTTGGCACCGAGTGCGACCATCGACTCGGCCCAGTTGCTTACGTTAAGCCCCTCAGGGTTGAATGTGGCTGGATCGCTCGTAGGCCCTGTGGCGTAGGATGCCTTTTGGTTCCAATTGTCTGGACCACAGCCGGGATCACCGTCATGTGCAAAAGTTGCCATGTTGAAATGAACCAATGCCATGATCTCGTGCTGCTGATACAAAAGCTGGGGCGTGGTCGGCAAAGGTACTGTCGACCGATCGGCTGTAACTCGCAGCAGGAACGCAAATGAGAATGCAGCCTGTGCGGATCGTGGCTGGAACAAGGACATCGCTGAACAGCAAGCTGTCTGTACAAGATTGCGTAAGCCTAGGGGCGACGCTTGAACATCAAAACTTCAGCCAAAAGGCCACGGTGAAAACGTTGCGAAAATCAATGAATCTGATATTCCTTGGCCTTCCCGGGGGTCCTTCTGGGGTTCTACTGGGTCGCCTTGCGGCCGCCTTGGGCCGTCCTGGGGCACTCTCTTCTTGGTGAGGGAGATCTGAGGAGGAGAAGCTCCCTATCAAGTATAGCACAACGTACAATATGGGCGTGAATGAAGTTTGGCCCCTTTTTTGGGCATAGCCGAAGTAATGGCTACTTATGTTGTCTGGAACTGTTGTTGAAGCGTCAAAAAAGCCATGTTGGCGAGCAATCCCCACGAGGTCTGGCATTTTAAAACCGCCATCCCACTGTGCGGAACCAGACTCCACTTGTACTTCGAAGGAAGTCTCAAGCGAAATACTCGTTCCCGGAGCGTTTGGAACCAAATTCTAGTGTTTCGAACCGAGTTCGGACTGTCAGAACTTCAAATGTTGTACGGATGTCCCACATGGTTTGCCGTTTTCGAGCCGCCATCCCTTTGCTTCGAACCGGGTGCCGGCCCCCCTGCTCGACCGTGGCCTCCCGTGCCCCTCAGCTTTCTCTCCGTGCCCACCCTTTCTGCTCATTCCGACCGGCCGACCGTGCTCCCCCTCCTGCCCGACAATAGCCCCTCGCGCCCCCCCCTCCCCCCCGTGGCCCCCCCTCTGCTCATTCCGACCGACCGACCGTGCCGCCTCTCCCACTGCCTGCCCGACCGTGGCCCCCCGTGCCCCCCCCGTTCCCTCCGTGGCCCCCCTCTGCTTATTCCGACCGACCGGCCGCGCCCCCCCCTGCTCGACTGTGGCCTCCCGAGCCCCCCGCCTCCTTTCCCCCGTGCCTCCCGCCCCTTCTGTTTATTCCGACCGACCGACTGCGCCCCCCCCCATCCCTGCCCGACCGTGGCCCCCTCTGGGTTTCCCCCTCCTTTGCCCGTGCCACCCCTCTGCTCATTCCGACCGACCGACCATGCTCCCCCCCTCCCCTACCGTGGCCCCCCGTTCCCCCCCCCACCTATGACCCTCTCTCTATATTCCGACCGACCGACCATGGCCCTCTCCCCCTGCTTGACCGTGGCCACTCGTGTCCCTGCCCTTCCCCCCGTGGCCCCCGCCCTCTGCTTAATCCAGCCGGCCGGCCGTGCCCCCCCTTCTGCTGGAACGCGGCACACCGTACCTCCCACCCTTTTCCTTGTGCCCCCCTCTGCTTATTCCGACAAACCGACCATGCCCTCCCCCACTTTGCCTGACCGTGGCCCCCTGTGCCCCCCTTCTCTCCGTGCCCCCTCCCTGTGCATATTCCGACCGACCGACCGTGCGCGTCCGTGCTCGACCGTGGCCCCCCGCGCCACCCTCCTTCCCTCCATGTCCCCCCTCCCTTCTGCTTAGTCCGGCCGACTGACCGTGCCGCCCCTGCCCGACCGTGGCCCCGCATGCCCCCCCTCCATTTCGACCGACCGACCGACCGTGCCCCCCCTTCCCGACCGTGGTTTCCCATGCTCCCCTACTCCGATTGACCGACTGTGCGCCGCCCCAAGCCCGTCCGTGGCCCCGCGATGCCCTTTCTCCTCCTGCCCCCTGTGGCCCACCCCGTCTGCTAATTCCGACCGGCCGACCGTGCCCCCCCCGCCTGCCTGACCGCGCCCCCCTGTGCCCCCCTTTCCCTCCGCGCCCCCCCTCTGCATATTCCGACCGGCCGACCGTGCCCCCTCCCCGTGCCCAACCGTGCTCCCCCGTGCCAACCCCTTTTCCCTGTGCCCTCCCCGTTTGCCTATTCCGACCGATCGACCGTGCCCCCCCTTTCTGCTCGACTGTGGCCCCCCGTGCCCCCTGCCCTTCCCCCCACGCCCACCCTTTTCTGCTTACTCCGACCGATCGACCGTGCCCCCCTCCCTTTCTGCTCAACTGTGGCCCCCCGTGCCCCCTGCCCTTCCCCCCATTGCCCACCCCCTCTCCTTACTCCGACCGACAAGCCGCGCCCCCCCCCCCCACCTGCTTGTCCGCGGCATCCCGCGCCCCCCCCGTCCCCCCGTGGCCTTCCCCTTCTGCCTATTCCGACCGACCGACCGCGCCCCCCCCCTGCCCGACCGCGGCCCACCGTGCTTCCCTCCGTGGCCCCCCATTCCACCCCCCAGCGCCCCGCATCCGTGATTGCATGATCCTTGGCACGCGTGCCTCCCAACTGACGGATCGCGGCACGATGCGCGCTTTCCGTCACTTGGGGCGGGCCCTGCCAACCCCCATCACACTCCCCCTTGCTATTTCTCCCAACGAACGGATCGCGGCGCTACGCGCGCTGTGCGTCATCTGCCGCCCACCGCTATTTGATCACAGGGCTACCTGGCGTGCCTTATGTTGCCCCCATTGTACTGAAGGACAACATCCCAGAAATAAGTTCGAGCAGTAAGTTCGAGCACCCGGAAAAGTGTCGAACAAGTGCCGAACCGATGTCGAACGAGCGTTTCCCAGGGCCCGACGCGTGAAACCCCTCGAGTTTAGTTGTTCTGGTGCTCGAAATTCTTCCGCGTGGTCCAAGCTACGCCGGGCAGGCACATCACCAAGCGTGCCAAGGTTCCTGTGGCTTTGGGTCCGTTGCTGACCCCACCCCACCCCTCGGGGTTTCGGCCCAGCGCGCCTGCCACCCGAAAGGCCACGCAGGCTGCAGCAGACTCCAAGATGGCCTCCAAGATGCCCACACGCCGGCCGAGGTGGCCCCAACAGAAGCCGATATGGCCCAAGATGCACCCAAGACGGCACACGCTGGACCCAGCACGACCCAAGATGGCCCAAGACGGCTCAAGAGGCCCCCAAGAGATCTCACAGACGACCCATGAAGCCCCCAAGCGGTCCCCGAAGAAAACCCGTAGAGACTGAAATCATTGATGTTCCATGGAGGTTGCGTTGCAGATTGTGGCACGTGCTTCCGTCCGGCCTTCCGACGGCCCAGGGCTGCCCAGGAAGGCCCCCAAGATCGCCCCCAGAACGCCCAAAAGGCATCCGAGATGGCACCGCGACGGTCCAAGATGGCCTCGAGGCGGCCCCAAGAGAGCCCAAGACCGCCCAAGAGCCAAGACACTCAAGATGGACTCTCGCGCCGCCTGTCCCTGCCACTGAATAGTGCCACGCGCGCCGCGGAGGCGAGACCCGCGCGGCCCTCAAGCCAGACCTCCACGTGACCGCCGCGGAACTCATCGCCGCGATGACGCTTCGTTCCGCGGTCGCTGGGCATAGCGCCCGCGCGAACCTCGGAGCGCGCAGCCGTCGAAGTGCAGACGGAATCGGCGCGCGCGCGGCCAGCGAAGCGCCGCGTGCTGTCCGGCCGCGCGGCCGCTAGCTTGCGCGGGAGCAACACCCCCCAAACTGATGCACGATGGAACGCGCCTGCGCGGGACCGACGGACCACAAGAAAGGGCCACTTTGGAGACCTCACATGAAGAAGAAACGCTCGAGCGACTCTGCCGCAACCGCGAAGAGGGCCCGGTGCGCCCCTTTGGAGGCCACGGCGCGCGGCTGCGCTCGTGGCGGAAAAGAAAGGCCCGACGGCAAACGTCGGCTTCGAAGCCTCAGCGGCCGCGGGCGTGGCGGCGCAATCGCGATCCTGCCGCGCGAGGCAGCGCAGCCCGCCGCGAGGGCACCCTCTCCGAACGAGCGGGGGCCCCCGGGGGAGCCCCTGGCCCCCTCCCCGTCTCCCCCGCCGCCTTTCCGCAACGCCCTCCTCCCATCCACCGTTCGGCTACGATTGGGGTCACTTGTTTGGCCCCGATTTTGCCCACTTTCTGTGGCCTCCCCTCAGCGGAGGTACACTTTTTTGACCACCATTTTTCACAATTAAATCGACGAGGGAAAGAATCATTCAAAATCGTAAGTGGTTTCGTGGGGCCCTACAGGGGGGCGCGGAATCGTGGCCGAAAATCGCGGGCAAAATCGTGTCCGAAATCGCGGGCAAAATCGCGTCCGAAATCGCGGGCGGAATCGTAGCCGAAATCGCAGGCGCAGAATCACAGGCCTGCCCGGCGCGCCGGCATGCCAAGCAGGCGCGCCCGCGCAACATCAGTGACGGCAAGGAAAAGAGAAGAGAGAGCGGCAGCAGCAGCAGGAGGGCCAGCAGCAGCAGCGGGAAAAGGAAAGAAGAGGAAGCAGCAGCAGGAGAGGAGGAGAAAGAGTCGTCGAAATTGGCCCGCCAATTCGTCGCGCGCCTCTGAGCGCACTGGACATGATTTTCGGGGGAAACTCACCGGCCCAACGGGCCAGGGGCGCGCGAAGATCTCCGGCGACTGCCTCACAGCATTTTTACTTCGCGCGCGCGGGGCGGCCCCTAGGGGCCCCCGGACGCAAAGCACCCCTCCTGGGCCGCCCCGGGCGCGGCCGGAAAGCCGCGCCCAGGGCGGCCCCTAGGGGCCCCCTCCTGGGCGCGGCTTTCAGGCGCCCCAAATTGATCCCAGAGGGCCCCAAGAGGCGCCCAAGACGGTCCAAGAGGGCTCCGAATCGTCGATCGATCGGCCCGCGTCACCCACGATGGCCTCCAGACGGCCCACGACGCGCACAAGACCCCCGAAGAGGCCACCGCGAGCTGAAACGATACCCGAAAACGCTGCTCTGAACTTAAAGGAAAAAGGGCAGCAGAGAGACGAGGCGGAAACATACCGGGGGCGACACCGCTCAAATGACGCGCGGAGCCGAGATTGCGCGCAAGCCGCACGCCGAATGCCCAACATGGGAACGGGTCGGCGACACAACAACTTCTGAACAAAGAGAAAGCGAATCACTTGGAAATATTATATTTTCTGCCTCGAATAACACATACACGCAATCGTTGCGCCAATCCGCTCGGGGGGCGCAGCTTCATGAGGTCTCCCATAGGACCCTGAAGCGCCTCAAGAGGGCCCCAAGAGGGCCCCAACACGGCCCAGCGACTCTTCCAAGACGGCCTCAGACGGCGTCAGGCGGCTCTACCAAAAAGCTCCCACAGGCCCCCAGGAGGCCCAAGGAGGCCCCGCAGAAGTCTCCAAGAGGCCCCCCAAAAGCTCCCAGGAGGCCCCAAGCGTGCCCAGCGGCTCTCAGGAGGCCTCCTCCTCCTCCTCCTCCTCCTCCTCCTCCTCTTTCCTCCCTCTCCTCCTTTCCTTCTGTCTCCCCCACATGTTCCCCGAAGAGTTTCCACAACGGCTGGGGGAACACACAATCCGATAGCCTGGCCGCGCTCTGGCAACAACGTCCGGCCACAAAGGCGCTTCCAAAAAGACAGAGGGCGGCGGTGATTCGCCGTAGGCGTCTTCGATGCATGGAAGCAAGGGGGCTGAAGCCACTGTTTCAACACTAACTTAGAAGCGGAGCCGAGACAGCAGCAACGCGGCCACCCATCGCGGTACAACCTTTCTTGAGTCGTGACTTCAACATCTTCTGGGAGTAGCAAACACAGGAAGATGAGGAGGAGGAGGAGGAAGAGGAGGAGGAGGAGGAGGAGGAGGAGGAGGAGGAGGAGACGGAAGCGGAACATAAAGAAGGGGAAGAAAGTGTACATAGAGGGCCGAGGATCAACATGGGACTAGGGATGAGGAGGGGTAGAAGCAGGGGTAAGGACAAGTAGAGGACTGGGAAGAACAGGATGAGCATGAAGAGCGGGAGGAGGGGTAGAAGGACGACAGATGACAAGGAGAAGGAAGACGAGCGAACGCTTCCCCTAGGATGAGGATTGGGAGAAGAATGTGGATTGGGAGGAGGGCGAGGACGACGACGACGACGGCAGCGAGGATGGGGGAAGAGGACGAGACGTAATCCTCCCTCATTTCTCCCCATCATCATGGCAGCAGCTCCTCTGGAAACCCGCGCAATGCCAACGGCGCAAAACCGCCAAACCAGACCGTCGGCAATGGTTCGTCCTCCTCCGCCTCCATTGGGCGCCCGAATTATCCGGGGCAGCTCGGGCCCGGGGCAACTCGGGTCTGGATTCCCGAAAAACGAACCCGAGTTAACCCTGACCCGAGTTACCCCTGATGACTTGAGGCCCTGGGCGCCCGAATCATCCGGGGCAGCTCGGGCCCCGGTGACTCGGGTTCGGAGCCCCGAAAAACGAGCCCGAGAAAGCCCTGACCCGAGTTACCCCTGATGATTCGGGGATCTGACTACTTCCCCTCCATCCACCTCCTCCCCCGATCTTCCCAACTGCTCCTCCGCATCGCTCTGCTATTTCTCCCCCCTCCTCCTGCTGCTACTCAGCATCATAATCATTGGTCATCACTCTTATCTGACATCTGGTCAAGAAGACATATGCAGTTTAACTGCTCAGGTGGATGCTTTCCTACATGCTCTGATGTACTGCGATCGACGATCAAAACATACGGGCGCGCCTTCTGAAGCGCCTTGTTCACAATGTCGCCTCCCTCCGCACACTCTGCGCGCCCAGTCAGGTCGCCGCGAACATAATATTGGATCTGCACACGCTCTATGGATTAGCAATAAGAGGACCCCTACCCCTTTGGGAGGGACATAAGTGAGGAGGGCCATAAACATTAGGGATAGGGGAGCTGTTCTGCTGATGTTCCAAACCAAACCACCCAGAATGATCACCCCTACTGCCAAGACAGGAACCTGAGCGAGGCCACGTCCTCACTATGTTCTCAAGGTTTGGGGCTCTTGTGTTCTCGACGACTTATCCACTGCTTCGTCGCCCCCCATGTGCCAACGCATGCGCGCGGACACGATCCCTTGGACGCTGGCGTTTTCTTTGGCTCGCAGAGGGGGCGGCGGCCAGGAACACCCGAGGGGCAGGAGAGCCCAGAATCGAATCGATAAGTCGGATCGAGGATCGGAATGAGCCGGATCGGCGGCAATCGGCAGCCAAGCCGGGAAAAGTCGAATCGGCGGACATCGGCAGGCCAGTAGGCCTCCATGGAGGAATCGGCATCCACATCGGAATCCGAAGTCGAGTCGAATCGGAATCGGAAGCCATCGAAATCGAATCGAATCGAATCGGAGGAATCGAAATGAGCCCTGAGGGGCGGGGGCTCGCCGTGCAGAGCGCCCCGGATATCTGGCCGACACCGGCGCGCCCCCCGGCAGTCTCGTTCCTCGGTCGTGGGGCCGGCCAGGGCCCCACGAACGGTGGGGATCGGCTGGCATGCTGGCTGGCACCCGCGGGTGTCAGCAGCTGCCTCCTCGGCCCGGTGCGCCAGGGTGCGGCCATGTGCGTCCATCTGGCTCGCTCTCTCGCTCTCTCGCTCTCGCTCGCGCTCTCGCTCTCGCTGCCTCTCCCTGCCCCACTTTGCCCCCTCTTGCCGTTGCAGACGCGGAATGAATCGTGTCACCACCGGCTTCCTCACCCACCCCATCGTGTCACCACCGGCTGTCCCTCTCTCTCTCTCTCTTGTCTCGCTCCATCCCCTGCTGTCGTCGATCTCTGTCTAAGCATGGCCGCCATCTCGACGATGGACCCCCTCCCCAGGAAAGCGCGCTCGTCCTGGACCGTTGTGCCCCAGATGGGTCCCTGGATGCGCACATTGAGAAAAACTGCCGCCTCGACCTTGCATGGTGACAAGCGTTCCACGAGATCCGACATAGCGAAGGAGTGCACCACCGGGAACAATCACGACCAGAGCCCTATTGAGCGTTTTTTTTTATTCGGAGTTGTTCCAGACCTATGCTTAGTGCGACTGTTTGCAAGAGTGCTGCCTCTGGGGGAGACTCCACCTACTCGAAAGAGGCGCCAAAAAACAGCCAAGATCTACTCCATGGGGAGGGGGGGAGGGCGGGGGGTGCGAGGGCCCGCGCCGATCGGCTAAACGACGACCTGGACCCCATCTCTCTGCGCCCTGCTTCCAGCCAGGCTCCAGACCGACATGTGAGGGCCCAGGGCCCCAGACCGGGCGAACACGTCTGGCCTTAGGTCGGGCATGTCCTCCTGCAGGCGGATTTTGGACGACAAATGACAACTAGTCTAGACGTGCTCGAACATAGTCAAACATAATCGAAAAAGCGCCCTGTAGAGGGACATGCCCGACTGAAGTCTGGCCCGAAGGAACTGAAACGCCAGGGCCACAGAAGAAAAGACGTGCGGGAGGCGTGCCGTCTGCTCCTCCGAGGGCCCTGCCTCTGGCGCCTCCGAAGGCCCCTGGATGCGCACCCCGAGAAAAACAAACAAACAAGAAAACTTGAGCGCCCCGATGCTCCGCGACGGGCAGTGATCGGGGTCGCACTCACCCGGGTCAATGCAAAACCGGGTCAGTCAGGCTTTGCAAGACCCTGCAGGATCCTGCAAGATCCTGCACCCAAGCCCAGGTCAGCGCATCCCTGGCCCTGCAGGATACTGCTGCAAAGTCCAGCGCTCTGACTGAAACCTTTTTGCACTGCACCCCGTCTCTTGAGCCCAGAAAAGGTCTGCTGGTGAGGCCCGGAGAGTCGTGCCGTCGGCTCCCCCTCGGGACACTAAAAGGTACCGATACCGCTACTCCCCGGACCTCTCCCGGGGTGCGTTCTGGCCAGGATTTCGAGGCGAATCCAGCGGAGGCGACGACGGAGGCCCGGGAGGCCCAAAAAGGGGAAAACGAGGGGAGGGTAGAGGTACGGGTACCTTTTCCTCCTCTGACCTCCGAGGGCCCCCTCCCGCGGAGCGGTACTTGGTGGTGACGTCGGGGTTGCTCAGGTCCGCGACCTGCGCACGACTCCGCGGCTCCGCCCTGTCCTGCCCCTCCTCCGCCGCCCGCCTGCCTGCCTCCTCGCCGCCCTCGGGGAGGAGGGGCAGGAGCAAGAAGAGGGGCAGGAGCAGGAGCAGGAGCAGGAGCAGGAGGAGGAGGAGCAGGAGCAGGAGGGAGAAGCAGGAGGAGGGAGCAGAGAGGAGGAGGTGTCCTCGCTGCGTTGGGCAAACGCTGGCAAGCATGAGCCGTCGCGTCTTGATGGCCGCGATCCAAAAGGAAAAAAGAGATCGGAACGCAGCGCTCGAGCAACCTCAAAAATAGACAACCAGTGCGTGCACGATTGTCCGCCTCGACCTGCCCCTCCTCCTCCTCCTCCTCCTCCTCCTCCTCCTCCTCCTGCTGCCTCCTCATTGTCGCCGTCAAGGAGGCAGGACCAGTAGGGGGCAGGAGAAGGGATCAGGAGTTAGGGAGGACTGGGATCTGGATTGGCGTAAGAAGCGCGCCCCTACTGCAAGCGGCGGATTGGCTCGGAGCGAACTGGAAAAGACATCACAGGTCGAACAAATGCAGGGCTAATGCGCTGCGAGCACGGATGGCCGCTCAAGGATATTGAATTGTGCCACCAGAGTAGAAGGAGAAGTGCCTCTGGGAAGCTCCGGGCGTTCTGGAGATCCCTGGGACATTCTAGGGGCCCATCTTAATCGTCCTCCCTTTCCTCCCCCCACTTTCCTACAACCTCGTCCTTCATCGTTCTTCATTCCTGCACTTGTTCTTACGCGTTCTCCTCTTCATCCTCCTCCTCGTCCGCATCCACCTGCTCTCTCTTCATTCCTGTGTATGTAGATGTTACGACTAATCATGCTCTCCCAGAATGCTTCTTCCTCCCTCATCCCCTCCTGCCTCTTCCACCCTGCTTCTTGTTACTCCCTCCTGACTCCCCCTGAGGGGAAGGGCGTCAGATATGACGCGAGCGCACCAAGCTTGCCCTCCACAATTACACAGTCTGAATACTACTCTGCTCTCTCCCCTGGTGACGTCCGGGGAATGGCCGGACCCCCCCTTCGCGTACATTTCTTTGCACACCGGATTTTCCGGAAACAGGTTTTCGCTTGGTGTTTGTTTTAATGCTGCTCTCGCTCAGGCGCTGGCTTCATTTTCAGGCCACCGCTCGTTCCAAATCGTGCTCCCGCTGCAGCGCTGGCCTCATTTCCGTGCTTCCGCTCGTTCCGAATCGTGCTCCCGCTGCCCAGCGCCATGCCACGGCATGTTTTCGGTCCTTCTCAATAGGCTCCCAAATCTAGAAAATGGCACCCCGAACAAAAACATCGATAGTGATTACACATGCGGTGTCGATTCGCTGATTTTTGGGGTCGTGGAAGCCCCCCCCCACTTTGGGGCGTCGCCACGCCATGCTGTGTCAGGCTACGCGTCCTCATTTCCTCGCTTCCGCGCTGGGGCTTTTTTCAAAATGCTGCTCTCGCTGAAGCGCTGGCCTCATTTTCGGGCTATAACTCGTTCCGAGTCGTTCTCCCGCTGCAACGCTGGGCTCTTTTCCGCGCCTCCGCTCTTTCCGAATCGTGCTCCCGCTGCCATGCCACGGCATGGTTGTCGGTCCTTCCACATGACCCCAACATTTAGAAAATGCCCCCCCCCACCCGAAAAAAACCATGTGAAGTGATTACACATTCGGTGCCGATTCGTTGATTTCTTGGGTCGCAGAAGCCCCCCCACTTTGGGGCGTCGCCACGCCATGCTATGTCAGGCTATGCGTCCTCATTTCCTCGCTTCCGCGCTTGTTCCCTACCTAGGCTCTGCCCAGAAGGGGTTCTTACTGTGTGGGCTTAAAGGGCCGGGCAGTGGAAACCGCCCCGGGCGGTTCCCCCAGCATCCGCCCCGTGGTTCCCCCAGTATCCGCCCCGCGGTTCCCCCAGTAGCTTAGCTTAGCTTAGCTTAGCTTAACTTAACTTAGCTTAGCTTATCTCCTCGTAGCTTAGCTTAGCTTAGCTTAACTTCGCTTAGCTTATATCATCTTAGTTTAGCTTAACTCAGCGTTGCTTAGCTTAGCTTAGCTTAGCTTAGCTTAGCTTCGCATAGTTTAGCTTCCCCTTGCTTAGCTTAGCGCAGCGCAGCATAGCGCAGCGCAGCATTAGCACAGCATGGCATAGCATAGCCAAGCATAGCGTAGCATAGCTCAACATAGCATAGCATACCATATCATAGCATAGCGCAGCATAGCATAGCATAGCATAGCATGGCATAGCATCGCCAATCATAGCACCGCGCAGCATAGCATAGCATAGCATAGCATAGCATAGCATAGCATAGCATAGCATAGCATAGCATAACATAGCTGCGCGCAGGCAAAGCAAACACAACATCAAGCAACAGCAAACACAATAGCAAAGCAAAAGCAACAGCAAACGCAAAAACAAAGGCAAAGGCAAAAGCAAAGGCAAGAGCAAAAGAGAAGGCAATGCAAAGCAAAAACAAAACCAATGCGAAAGTGTAGATGTAGATGTAGATGTAGGTGTAGGTGTAGATGTGGATGTAGGTGTAGATGTAGATGTAGGTGTAGATGTAGGTGTAGATGTAGATGTAGGTGTGAGTCTCGCTGTTGATGTTGATGTAGATGTAGATGCAGGTGTAGATGTAAATGTAGCTGTCGGTGTAGATGTAGATGTTGCTTTCCTAAATGCTCCAACTCCTATGTAGGGTCGCACTGGGATAGTTCTGTTGTTCAAAATGCTGCTCTCGCTGAAGCGCTGGCCTCATTTTCGGGGTATAACTCGTTCCGAATCGTGCTCCCGCTTCAGCGCTGGCCTCATTTCCGCGCTTCCCCCTCGCGGTCTGGATTCCAGGGCGCGATCCCGCGGATAGGCAATCGTACGGGTACGTGCCGCGCGGGGCATCCGCGAAAAAAAATACCCCCTATCCGCAGGTCCGCGGCCCAGGGGCCCGGCCCGCAAGCTTTTCCACCTACGACCTTCATATGTGTATGCAGCTCGCCTTCTCCGATTGCGCACAACACGGTAGGGTCTTCTGGGAAGTTCCAGGTCCGCGGTGAGAAAACAAACAAAAACAGCGCAAAGGGAAGGGATGTCAGATATGGCGCGAGCGCACCTGGGTTCCCCGCCCCCGTCCTCCCTCCTTTTCTTCCTACCTCCTTTCCAAACCGAAAAGAAGCGGCCAACCGAATCGAACCGGTCAGACCGCACCGTGCAAAAAGCGGAACCAGACCGAACTGGAACCAGGCCAAACCGAAGCGGCCAAATCCGAAGCGACCCGGTGTCAAACCGACACTGGCCGAGCAAAATCGAGCCGCTGCAAAACTGCACCGCGCCGAACCGACCTCCTCGTGCATGCGGGAGCCTATGTGCGGGACCTTCCTGCGCCCGAACATTCCCGCTGGCGCAAGGAACCCCGTGAGCGGAAACCCATGGCGCAATGCAAATGCTGTGCAATTGCAGATTCACTCAAACGCACTTTGTAAGCTGGACACTACGGCACACGGCACCCGCGAGTTCCCGCCGGTGCAAGGGACCCATGACTGAAAAGCCTATGGGATCCAGTGGGCGAGGTCGTCGGCCACCCTAAGATCCCCGCTGGTGCAAAGGATCCAGACCCCATGAGCCGTAAGAAATTGCACCAACAAATAAAAACGCGTTTCAAGCCCAATTCCCAAATACCAAACAGAACTCCTTAGGCATTAGTGCAAGCACTATCCGGGAAATTGGTGGGGGCAGGGTGGATGGATCGCGCCCCTTGCGGCCTCTCGGAAACATTCCAGTCCTACGGCAGTGGATTTCGTCTTCTGTCCCGTTGACTGCTCCCTGTCCAATGACTCTGGCGACGCAGAGCGACAAACTAGGCCGCGCGATTCTGGTGACTGGCCAAGGCGCGCGTGAGCCTTCAATCAGATTTTTTTTTTGTTTTTCTTTTTTTTTCTGAGACGCTCTCAAAGCTTTACTCCGTCATCGCCGCCCCGCTTGCAGTCTAAGTGGCCCTAGGTGGGGCAGGAGTACATTCGTTAACACAAGCAAGGCAAACACACGACTGACAGACAACGAAGAGAGGGGACAAGAATATGAAGAAGACCCAAACAGAAAGCACATGTTGGGAAATGGACTCTGGCCAACGCCCGGCAGAAGTGCCCAGTGGCCAGTGCAAATTCAAAACAAGAATCCAAGCCCACCAGCGCCCTGGGCCTGATCACCAGCAGCCGCTTCGAGTGGCTCCTAATTTGGGAACGGAGGAGGCGCGGGCCTAAAGTGGCCCAGAACTGACTGCTCCCGCAGACAGCTCTCGGGCCAATGCGTATCTCGAGAGCCCGCGCCGAAGTGCATCTGGGGTCCGATGGAACGGGTTCCATCTAGTGCTCTCGCAGACGAGCACGCCATGTGTGCAGTGCAAGACAGCACGTTCTGGTGGCCATACGCTTATGTAGCTATTTCGTGGGTAGCCCACTCAGCCACATGATTCATGAGGAAGGAAAGGGAGGACAGAGGAGGGACGAGGGAGGAGGGAGGAGGGAGGAGGCCAAGCGGCCAAGGCGGTTCGCGCCAGCCCGCCAGCCGTCAGACCTGCGGCCGGCCGTCAGACCGGGTGGCCGTCAGTCCTGACGGCCGGGGATTGGCACGGGGGGGCTTCTGTTCACCTGCTCAGCATCGCTTGCAGCATACCGCTGGCAAGACGAACGGCCTGGCTCGACGAAGGCCGAGCGGCATGGTTCGAATTCTCTCATGCACGGGACCCCAGTCTGCGGCCTCGGCTTCGCGCCTCAGGGCAGCGGAGGCAGCGGCCCCCCCAGGCCCGCGGTCGCCGTGGTCCAGCACTGCACCCAGGACGAGGCGTTCTTGAAGGGGTGGAAGGCGGCCGCGTTGGCGTCGTGGCAGCTCACCCCCGTGCAAACACCGTCGCTGCTGAGGGCGAAGTCGTCGACTGGGCGCACGCCGAGCAGGACGAGACACTTGCCCATGAAGACGTCCTCGCCCCAGTCGCCCCACGGCAGCTCTGCGAC